AAAACTCTTACAAATTCGATTGTGTTGGTTTCACCTTCCACAATTTGACGCCGTCTAAGGNGANNCTNGAGATTTTCTTACACGAAAAGAACCACTCGACAAGCGACCCGACGAAGATGACTACCAGCGGTGACATCGTTAATTCCAATGGCGAGGAGAACGCCACCGACGACACCGGTCCGTAGGATCGGAGCGACGTCAACAACTCTCGCCCCCAAGATCAGAGCGGCGGCGACAACTCTAGTCACGACAAAAACGCTACATATAAAACTGGTCCGAACCAAACTGCTGGGGCGACGGCCGCGATGCCAGAATTCCTGAACGAGATGAAGGCGGTGATGGAATTGCTTCTCAAAAAGTCGACAGAACAAGATGCGCGCAACGCGGCGATGGACAACGAGCGAAGAGCCTCGGCAGCGGCCAGCCGAGCTCGAGGAGGAAGAACGGGCCAGGTCCCGCGATTCGCGTCGCGCATCGACCCCACAATGCTGAACTTCTCCATGCCAGGGGGTGCGCAGAGAATCCCCGAGCTACAACCAATGGATCCGGCATCCGATACTGGCGAGCCAAACGCAACGGCGAGCGGACCAACAAACAGAACTCCGCCGGTGATCAACTTGGAAGATGAGCGCAATTCGCAGGAACAAGGCATCCCTGAGAAGGGCGAACTCAAGCTCGGCAAGACAGCTTCAATCTAGAATTCGCTGACGAGGAAGAAAACATCCGATGGGTGTACAGAGCCCAGCTCGACGAAGAAAGAAGGATTTTGGTCCAAGCCCAGAAAGACGAGATGGCTGCTATGAGGGCTGATATGGACCGAGCCACTGCTAATCTGAAGGATGTTCAATCACAGATGCATCGGGCGATCAGCAAAGCACCCGAAATCGACAAAGTACTCGAACAGACACGAACTACTCCCTTTACAGCTCGCATTTCAACGGTGAATGTCACTGATCCAGGAAGAATTAAGATCACCCCTTACGAAGGGAACACCGATCCTAAGGACCACCTCCTAACGTTTGCAATAGCAACAGGG